TACAGGCAACCAGGCTCAGGTAGAAACAGGTGATATAGACTCTACAGCAACCAGAACCAGGCTCAGGTAGAAACAGGTGATATAGACTCTACAGCAACCAGGCTCAGGTAGAAACAGGTGATATAGACTCTACAGCAACAGACAGGCTCAGGTAGAAACAGGTGATATAGACTCTACAGCAACCAGAACCAGGCCTCAGGTAGAAACAGGTGATATAGACTCTACAGCAACCAGGCTCAGGTAGAAAGCGTAGTAACAGGTGATATAGACTCTACAGCAACCAGAACCAGGCTCAGGTAGAAACAGGTGATATAGACTCTACAGCAACCAGGCTCAGGTAGAAAACAGGTGATATAGACTCTACAGCAACCAGAACCAGGCTCAGGTAGAAACAGGTGATATAGACTCTACAGCAACCAGGCTCAGGTAGAAACAGGTGATATAGACTCTACAGCAACCAGAACCAGGCTCAGGTAGAAACAGGTGATATAGACTCTACAGCAACCAGGCTCAGGTAGAAACAGGTGATATAGACTCTACAGCAACCAGAACCAGGCTCAGGTAGAAACAGGTGATATAGACTCTACAGCAACCAGGCTCAGGTAGAAACAGGTGATATAGACTCTACAGCAACCAGAACCAGGCTCAGGTAGAAACAGGTGATATAGACTCTACAGCAACCAGGCTCAGGTAGAAACAGGTGATATAGACTCTACAGCAACCAGAACCAGGCTCAGGTAGAAACAGGTGATATAGACTCTACAGCAACCAGGCTCAGGTAGAAACAGGTGATATAGACTCTACAGCAACCAGAACCAGGCTCAGGTAGAAACAGGTGATATAGACTCTACAGCAACCAGGCTCAGGTAGAAACAGGTGATATAGACTCTACAGCAACCAGAACCAGGCTCAGGTAGAAACAGGTGATATAGACTCTACAGCAACCAGGCTCAGGTAGAAACAGGTGATATAGACTCTACAGCAACCAGAACCAGGCTCAGGTAGAAACAGGTGATATAGACTCTACAGCAACCAGGCTCAGGTAGAAACAGGTGATATAGACTCTACAGCAACCAGAACCAGGCTCAGGTAGAAACAGGTGATATAGACTCTACAGCAACCAGGCTCAGGTAGAAACAGGTGATATAGACTCTACAGCAACCAGAACCAGGCTCAGGTAGAAACAGGTGATATAGACTCTACAGCAACCAGGCTCAGGTAGAAACAGGTGATATAGACTCTACAGCAACCAGAACCAGGCTCAGGTAGAAACAGGTGATATAGACTCTACAGCAACCAGGCTCAGGTAGAAACAGGTGATATAGACTCTACAGCAACCAGAACCAGGCTCAGGTAGAAACAGGTGATATAGACTCTACAGCAACCAGGCTCAGGTAGAAACAGGTGATATAGACTCTACAGCAACCAGAACCAGGCTCAGGTAGAAACAGGTGATATAGACTCTACAGCAACCAGGCTCAGGTAGAAACAGGTGATATAGACTCTACAGCAACCAGAACCAGGCTCAGGTAGAAACAGGTGATATAGACTCTACAGCAACCAGAACCAGGCTCAGGTAGAAACAGGTGATATAGACTCTACAGCAACCAGAACCAGGCTCAGGTAGAAACAGGTGATATAGACTCTACAGCAACCAGGCTCAGGTAGAAACAGGTGATATAGACTCTACAGCAACCAGAACCAGGCTCAGGTAGAAACAGGTGATATAGACTCTACAGCAACCAGGCTCAGGTAGAAACAGGTGATATAGACTCTACAGCAACCAGAACCAGGCTCAGGTAGAAACAGGTGATATAGACTCTACAGCAACCAGAACCAGGCTCAGGTAGAAACAGGTGATATAGACTCTACAGCAACCAGAACCAGGCTCAGGTAGAAACAGGTGATATAGACTCTACAGCAACCAGGCTCAGGTAGAAACAGGTGATATAGACTCTACAGCAACCAGGCTCAGGTAGAAACAGGTGATATAGACTCTACAGCAACCAGGCTCAGGTAGAAACAGGTGATATAGACTCTACAGCAACCAGAACCAGGCTCAGGTAGAAACAGGTGATATAGACTCTGTTCGAAAACCTAGGACGCATCCTTAGAAGACCGGATTCGAAGGCCGATTACGTCATAGCGCGGTGCCGAGGTCTGGTCGGATTCCAAGAGTCCTCGTTATGCGGCCTTAAAATGCGTCCTTCTTTTTGCCCGATTTGAAGGACGGGTCCGATGTATCCTCGGTATTCTTGGATATCCCAGGATTCATTGCGAGACCAAGCAAGCCGTGATCAGAGGAAAGGTTACTTGGCGCCGAACAGTGGTGAAAATTGGAAGTTCAGTTTAATATAATCCAGTTTGTGAATAGTTCCGTCTGAGATTAATGAAAATAGTTGTTTTAATGGTTACTGAGTCAGATATGTGGCGGTAATGTTTGGTTTATCTAAAGGTTTTAATCTGTTACTGTGTAAATGGGTTTGGCTGGAATTTAAGGACAGATTCTAATATATCTGCAGGGTGGGAACTATAAATCTGAAAGGATTTTTATCTTTTTATTGCTGTTTTGCACAATATGCTTAACTAAGTATTTTTTGTTGTTGAATATTAGAGATTTTGCAGATATATTTTTTATAAGTAAATTGTTTAGATTTACTTATATATTTCTACCCCTTTTATAGAATAGAATAGAAAATCCCTTTATTGTCCCACAAGGGGAAAATTTACAGCAGCAGAAAGATTATTGAAAATGGTCACACAAATGAGGACCTTAGAAAAATGTATAAGAATAACATAATAGGGAAGAGTTAAAATATAAACAATACAATACTGTAAAGTGTTTTAACAATATAAAACTGGAGAATTAATAACCAATATGCAGCTATGGACATTTTTACAGTAATGGATATTTGAAAATAGCAGCAACATCAGAGATGTGCAGAATGACAGCAGCAGGTTATTTAACTGACTAAAGTTTCTGTCATTACATTGATTTGATTTGTTCCTGCTCCCGGTGGTTGGAACATTTATTCCACTCTGGATTCTTGTGAGTGTAGTCTTTGTTCACTTCACTATAAAAAAGAAATAAACAGTTTTGAAAACTTCTGTATTTATTCTTTTCCTGCTTTGTGTGTCAACGTTCACGGTTGCTAAGCAACAGAGCATACAGCGGTAAAACCCGCCAAAGGGTAGACCTGGTCGAATTTACAGCCAAAACTCTTCCGGTCTCCTTATTTTCAAGGACTTCGAAGGATCCAGTCTAGGTAGACCGCGTCCTTGGAGGATCCAGTCTAGGTAGACCGCGTCCTTGGAGGATCCAGTCTAGGTAGACCGCGTCCTTGGAGGATCCAGTCTAGGTAGACTGCGTCCTTGGAGGATCCAGTCTAGGTAGACTGCGTCCTTGGAGGATCCAGTCTAGGTAGACCGCGTCCTTGGAGGATCCAGTCTAGGTAGACCGCGTCCTTGGAGGACACGTCCTAGGTTTTCGAACAGAGCCAATGTTTCAGTCATTGGTTCTATTCAACAGCAGAATCTAGAACAACAATCTAGAAAATCACTGAGTTCTGAGCCAGTAATTTGCTGATCTGTCCACCAGAGGGAGTTCAGACCCTCACAGTTCATCCACTTCTTTTGTGTTTAACTACCTGCAACATCTGAACTCATTATTTCTAGAATGAGCTTGGTCCATAGAATGAAACTCCAACCTCTCCACTAAGACCAGGAGCAGAGAGCGCCCATCATGGAGGAGATAGAACTGCAGAAGGTAGAGCTGGGCTACAGGAACATCAGAGATGATGAGGAAGGTGAGGAATCAGCCCAGTTCTACACCTGGACCTGGTCATTGTCCTGAGAAGATGGAGGACCACCATCTCCCAGAAGATCCTTAGCAGCTCATGATTAGGATCATGAGGTGATCAATCCATCTGCAGAGAACCATCTGGATGATTCATACAACGGATAGGAGACGGCAATGAGGTCTGAACTCGCTGTGTTCAGAGGAAGAAGAAAGTTCAGAACATGTCAACCGTGAGGCGTGAAGGTGGAGACGTCCTTCTCTGCATAGAGGACAGGATGGTGCCATGGATGCAGAGACCATGGATGGGTTCTCATCCAGAGTTTCTCCACCTCACCATGGGACCATGTGTAACTAAAGGGGCAGCTCTGCTGGGAAACATGGTGGACATCTTATGATTGACTATATTCTGTTAAATCCAGAATAGAATTTAAAATCCTCCTTCTCACATATAAAGCCTTAAATGGCCAAGCTCCATCTGATATCAGAGGTCTGATTGTTCCTTATGTTCCTAACAGAGCACTTCGCTCTCAATCTGCAGGTTTACTAGTGGTTCCTAGAATTTCTAAAAGTAGAATGGGAGGCAGATCTTTTAGTTCTCAGGCTCCTCTCCTGTGGAACCAACTACCAGTTTTAGTCTGTGAGGCAGACACCCTGTCTACTTTTAAGGCTAGGCTTAAAACTTTCCTTTTTAATAGAGCTTCTAGTTAGAGTGGCTCAGGTTATCCTGATCTATCTCTATAGTTCTGCTGCTATAGGCTTAGACTGCTGGAGGACATAGGGACCCCTTTTTCATCATTCTGCTTCATTCTATCTCTATTCTCCCACTCTGCAGAATCTGTTAGTTCAATCTCTAACGTTCTGCTCTCTCTGCTTTTTCTCATAGTAGCTTCATCTGGTCTGTTCCTGTTTGGCTGTGACTCCATCCTGGAGAGAAACATCAGCTGTGCTGCTGCCATCATTGCTCCCGCCTTACTGCTGCCCACGTCTCCAGTCTCCTACTGGAAGGGTTAGGGAATGGATGTCTGGAGGGTCAGGGGATGTCCGGGGGGCTTGGAATGATGCAGAACAGTGTTTAGCTGTTTCTATTACCTTTACTATGAGCTGTGGCAGTTCAGGCAGACAGCTTATTTAAAGCAAAGAGGAAACGAATAATTTCCTGAGAGCAGAACTGGCTGAGTAGAGGCAGGATGGAAGGACTTACGTAAAGGATCCAGGTGTGTTGGAGCAGGTGGCGCCGTTCTGACAGCCCTGCATCGTTCCTGAAAACACTTGGCATTCATTCACATCAGTGGCACAGTTTGGACCCTGCCGCACAGAGGGAGGGAGGACAACGTCACAGAACTTCCCAGAAACGGATGTTCTCCAAACAGAGTGGAACTCACAGCCCAGTTGCTAGGACACAAACAGTGGTAGGAGTTCAACAGGTTCAGACAGGTTCCTCCGCTCTGGCAAGGGTTACTGCTGCACGGCACCTTCTGGACGGTCTGCAGGACGGACACAGGAAAACACAGCTGGTTGGAAAGGTGCGGGTTAGGATCCATGGCTGGAAAACCTTCTCAAGGTCTCACCTGTTCCAGGTCTGTGACTTGGTTCTCCAGCGCTGACACCTAGAGAGAGAACAGGAAATCTGTTTCAGTTTATTTAAGTGGGTAACCAGGGAGACCAGACCTCCCGAGTCACTCTAATGATTCTCTGTTGACTTGGAGGCTCGTTAAGTCTTTGACCCAAAGATTTAAATGGTTTGTCTGTCCCAGTCTATCTGTCCCAATTAGTCTGTCCCAGTCTCTCTGTCACAGCCTGTCTGTCCCAGTCTGTCTGTCCCAGTTAGTCTGTCCCAGTCTCTCTGTCACAGCCTGTCTGTCCCAGTCTGTCTGTCCCAGTCTCTCTGTCACAGCCTGTCTGTCACAGTCTGTCTGTCCCAGCCTGTCTGTCCCAGTCTCTCTGTCCCAGCCTGTCTGTCCCAGTCTGTCTGTCCCAGTCTCTCTGTCCCAGCCTGTCTGTCCCAGTCTGTCTGTCCCAGTCTCTCTGTCCCAGCCTGTCTGTCCCAGTCTGTCTGTCCCAGCCTGTCTGTCCCAGCCTGTCTGTCCCAGCCTGTCTGTCCCAGTCTCTCTGTCCCAGCCTGTCTGTCCCAGTCTGTCTGTCCCAGCCTGTCTGTCCCAGCCTGTCTGTCCCAGTCTCTCTGTCCCAGCCTGTCTGTCCCAGTCTGTCTGTCCCAGTCTCTCTGTCCCAGTCTGTCTGTCCCAGTCTCTCTGTCCAAGTCAGTCTGTCACAGTCTCTCTGTCCCAGCCTGTCTGTCCCAGTCTATCCAGGGCCCTGAGTGAATGGTGAACTGAGAGTGAACTGGGCTGATCTTTGCACTGGAAAAGGTTTGGTTCCAGCAAACACAGGTTCCATTCACTCTGCCTGGATCTGATTTATTAAACCCAAATAATAAAACAAGCTTTTATAAATAACCCAAACAAGGAGCAGAATAATCCCAGGTTGGTATCTAGGCCTACAGCCTCTAATGATTCCAGGAGGTTTTATCAGGTCTCTGTTTTAGAAGATCAACAGGAAGACTGGAGGAAAATAAACTGATGAAAAATGAAATTATAGCAGGGAAGGCTAAGACTGATAGAAGAGTGATGAAAGAGCAAAAGAAAAGTGATAGAAAAGTAATAGACGAGTGATAGAAGAGTGATAGACGAGTGATAGAAGAGTGATAGACGAGTGATAGAAGAGTGATAAAGGAGCAAAAGAAAAGTGATAGAAGAGTAATAGACGAGTGATAGAAGAGTGATAGACGAGTGATAGAAGAGTGATAGACGAGTGATAGAAGAGTGATAGAAGAGCAATAGAAGAGTGATAGAAGAGGAATAGAAGAGCAAAAGAAAAGTGATAGAAGAGTAATAGAAGAGGAATAGAAGAGCAATAGAAGAGGAATAGAAGAGCAAAAGAAAAGTGATAGAAGAGTAATAGAATAGCAAAAGAAGAGGGATAGAAGGGTAATGGAAGAGTGATAGAAGAACAAAAGAAAAGTGATAGAAGGGTAATAGAAGAATTATAGAAGAGGAATAGAAGAGCAAAAGAAAAGTGATAGAAGAGTAATAGAAGAGTAATAGAAGAGTGATAGAAGAGGAATAGAAGAGCAATAGAAGAGTGATAGAAGAGGAATAGAAGAGCAAAAGAAAAGTGATAGAAGAGGAATAGAAGAGCAATAGAAGAGTGATAGAAGAGGAATAGAAGAGCAAAAGAAAAGTGATAGAAGAGTAATAGAAGAGTAATAGAAGAGTGATAGAAGAGCAAAAAAGGAGATAGAAGAGTAATAGAAGAGTAATAGAAGAGTGATAGAAGAGGAATAGAAGAGTAATAGAAGAGTGATAGAAGAGGAATAGAAGAGTAATAGAAGTGTGATAGAAGAGTGATAGAAGAGGAATAGAAGAGCAAAGGAAAAGTGATAGAAGAGTAATAGAAAAGTAATAGAAAAGTGATAGATGAGTAATAGAAGAGTGATAGAAGAGCAAAAAAGGTGATAGAAGAGTAATAGAAGAGTAATAGACGAGTAAAAGAAGAGTGATAGACGAGTAATAGAAAAGTGATAGAAGAGGGATAGAAGAGCAAAAAATGGATATAAGAGTGATTGAATTGCAAAAGAAAAGTGAAAGAAGAGTGATAGAAAGGTAATGGGAGAGTGATTGAAGAGTGATAGCAGAGGGATAGAAGAGCAACAGAAAAGTGATAGAAGAGTAATAGACGAGTAATAGAAGAATAATAGAAGAGTAATAGAAGAGTGATAGAAGAGGAAAAGAAGAGCAAAAGAAAAGTGATAGAAGAGTAATAGAAGAGTAATAGAAGAGTGATAGAAGAGCAAAAGAAAAGTAATAGAAAAGTGATAGAAGAGTAATAGAAGAGTAATAAAAGAGTGATAGAAGAGCAAAAGAAAAGTAATAGAAAAGTGATAGATGAGTAATAGAAGAGTGATAGAAGAGTGATAGAAGGGTAATGGAAGAGTGATAGAAGAGCAAAAGAAAAGTGATAAAAAAAGTGATAGACGAGTAATAGAAAAGTGATAGAAGAGGGATAGAAGGGTAATGGAAGAGTGATAGAAGAGCAAAAGAAAAGTGATAAAAAAAGTGTTAGACGAGTAATAGAAAAGTGATAGAAGAGGGATAGAAGTGCATAAACGTGATATAAGAGTGATTGAAGAGCAAAAGAAAAGTGACGGAAGAGTGATAGAAAGGTAATGGGAGAGTGATAAAAGAGGGATAGAAGAGCAACAGAAAAGTGATAGAAGATTAATAGACGAGTAATAGAATGGTAATAGAAGAGTAATAGAAGAGTAATAGAAGAATGATAGAAGAGGAAAAGAAGAGCAAAAGAAAAGTGATACAAAAGTGATAGATGAGTAATAGAAGAGTGATAGAAGAGCAAAAAAGGTGATAGAAGAGTAATAGAAGAGTGATAGACGAGTAAAAGAAGAGTGATAGAAGAGGGATAGAAGGGTAATGGAAGAGTGATAGAAGAACAAAAGAAAAGTGATAGAAGAGTAATAGAAGAGTGATAGAAGAGCAAAAAAGGTGATAGAAGAGTAATAGAAGAGTGATAGACGGGTAAAAGAAGAGTGGTAGAAGAGGGATAGAAGGGTAATGGGAGAGTGATAGAAGAGGGATTGAAGAGCAACAGAAAAGTGATAGAAGAGTGATTAGAGGGCATTAAAGGAGGGAGGAAAAAAGCCCCCCCCCACATAGATAAATCACCCGTCCGTTTCCAAAGCAGACAGGAGAGAAACATTTCTGCTCTTTCACTTGATGTTTGTTGTTGAAACAGGAATACAAATTTAAACAAGTGGAAATGTAAAAATCTGCTTTTCCTAAACTCATTTTGACAACACTTCCTGAACTACAGATGTAGAGGAGATTTTATTAAAATGTTCTTAAATTAAATATATCGGATCACCTCCTTCAGGTTCAGAGTCAGAATCAAAGTCGGGATCAGGGCCAGAGTCAGGATCATGATCGGGATCAGGATCAGGGTCAGAGTAAGGATCAGGATCAGGGTCCGAGTCAGGATCATGATCGGGATCAGGATCAGGGCCAGAGTCAGGATCAGGATCAGGGTCCGAGTCAGGATCATGATCGGGATCAGGATCAGGGCCAGAGTCAGGATCAGGATCAGGGTCTGAGTCAGGATCATGATCAGGATCAGAGCCAGAGTCAGGATCATGTCCAGGATCAGGGTCCAAGTCAGGATCATGATCGGGATCAGGGTCTGAGTCAGGATCATGATAAGCATCAGGGTCCGAGTCAGGATCATGATCGGGATCAGGATCAGGGTCAGAGTAAGGATCAGGATCAGGGTCTGAGTCAGGATCATGATCGGGATCAGGATCAGGGCCAGAGTCAGGATCAGGATCAGGGTCCGAGTCAGAATCAGGATCAGAGTAAGGATCATGATCAGGATCAGGGTCCGAGTCAGGATCATGATCGGGAACAGGATCAGGGTCAGAGTCAGGATCATGACCAGGATCAGGGTCCGAGTCAGAATCAGGATCAGAGTAAGGATCATGATAGGGGATCAGGGTCCGAGTCAGGATCATGATCAGGTTCAGGGTCCGAGTCAGGATCATGATCGGGATCAGAGTAAGGATCATGATCGGGATCAGGGTCCGAGTCAGGATCATGATCAGGATCAGGGCCAGAGTCAGGATCAGGATCAGGGTCTGAGTCGGGATCAGGATCAGGGTCAGAGTAAGGATCATGATCAGGATCAGGGTCCGAGTCAGGATCATGATCGGGATCAGAGTAAGGATCATGATCGGGATCAGGATCAGAGTTAAGATCAGGGTCAGGATCATGATCAGGGTCAGAGTCAGGATCATGATCGGGATCAGGGTCAGAGTAAGGATTAGGATCAGTGTCCCAGTCAGGATCATGATCGGGATCATAGTAAGGATCATGATCAGGATCAGTGTCAGAGTCAGGATCATGATCGGGATCAGGATAGGAGTTAGGATCAGGGTCAGGATCATGATCGGGATCAGGGTCAGAGTCAGGATCATGATCGGGATCAGGATCAGGGTTAGAGTAAGGATTAGGATCAGGATCAGGGTCCGAGTCAGGATCAGGATCGGGATCAGAGTAAGGATCAGGATCAGGGTCCAAGTCAGGATCATGATCGGGATCAGGATCAGGGCCAGAGTCAGGATCATGATCAGGATCAGGGTCCGAGTCAGGATCAGGATCGGGATCAGAGTAAGGATCAGGGTCCAAGTCAGGGTCATGATCAGGATCAGGGTCAGAGTCAGGATCATGATCGGGATCAGGGTCAGAGTCAGGATCAGGACCAGGATTGCGGTCAGGGTCAGGATCAGGACCAGGATTGGGGTCAGGGTCAGGACCAGGATTGGGGTCAGGGTCAGGATCATGATCGGGATCAGGATCAGGGTCAGAGTTAGGATCATGATCGGGATCAGGGTCAGAGTAAGGATCATGATCGGGATCAGGGTCCAAGTCAGGCTCATTATCGGGATCAGAGTAAGGATCAGGATCAGGGTCCAAGTCAGGATCATGATCGGGATCAGGATCAGGGCCAGAGTCAGCATCAGGTTCCGAGTCAGGATCATGATCAGGATCAGGGTCCGAGTAAGGATCATGATCGGGATCAGGGTCCAAGTCAGGATCATGATCAGGATCAGGGCCAGAGTCAGGATCAGGTTCCGAGTCAGGATCATGATCAGGATCAGGGTCCAAGTCAGGATCATGATCGGGATCAGGGCCAGAGTCAGGATCAGGTTCCGAGTCAGGATCATTATCAGGATCAGGGTCCGAGTAAGGATCATGATCGGGATCAGGGCCAGAGTCAGGATCAGGTTCCGAGTCAGGATCATTATCAGGATCAGGGTCCAAGTCAGGATCATGATCAGGATCAGGGCCAGAGTCAGGATCAGGTTCCGAGTCAGGATCATGATCAGGATCAGGGTCCAAGTCAGGATCATGATCGGGATCAGGGTCCAAGTAAGGATCATGATCGGGATCAGGATCAGGGTCAGAGTCAGGATCATGATCGGGATCAGAGTAAGGATCAGGATCAGGTCCAGAGTCAGGATCAGGGTCAGAGTAAGGATCATGATCGGGATCAGGGTCCAAGTCAGGATCATGATCGGGATCAGGATCAGGGCCAGAGTCAGGATCAGGTTCCGAGTAAGGATCATGATCGGGATCAGGGTCAGAGTCAGGATCATGATCGGGATCAGGATCAGGGCCAGAGTCAGGATCAGGGTCAGAGTAAGGATCGTGATCGGGATCAGGATCAGGGTCAGAGTTAGGATCATGATCGGGATCAGGGTCAGAGTAAGGATCATGATCGGGATCAGGGTCCCAGTCATTCTCATTATCGGGATCAGAGTAAGGATCAGGATCAGGGTCCAAGTCAGGATCATGATCGGGATCAGGGCCAGAGTCAGGATCAGGTTCCGAGTCAGGATCATGATCAGGATCAGGGTCCGAGTAAGGATCATGATCGGGATCAGGGTCCCAGTCAGGCTCATTATCGGGATCAGAGTAAGGATCAGGATCAGGGTCCAAGTCAGGATCATGATCGGGATCAGGATCAGGGCCAGAGTCAGCATCAGGTTCCGAGTCAGGATCAGGATCAGGGTCCGAGTAAGGATCATGATCGGGATCAGGGTCCAAGTCAGGATCATGATCGGGATCAGGATCAGGGCCAGAGTCAGGATCAGGATCAGGTTCCGAGTCAGGATCATGATCAGGATCAGGGTCCAAGTCAGGATCATGATCGGGATCAGGGCCAGAGTCAGGATCAGGTTCCGAGTCAGGATCATTATCAGGATCAGGGTCCGAGTAAGGATCATGATCGGGATCAGGGTCCAAGTCAGGATCATGATCGGGATCAGGATCAGGGCCAGAGTCAGGATCATGATCGGGATCAGAGTAAGGATCAGGATCAGGTCCAGAGTCAGGATCAGGGTCAGAGTAAGGATCATGATCGGGATCAGGGTCCAAGTCAGGATCATGATCGGGATCAGGATCAGGGCCAGAGTCAGGATCAGGTTCCGAGTAAGGATCATGATCGGGATCAGGGTCAGAGTCAGGATCATGATCGGGATCAGGATCAGGGCCAGAGTCAGGATCAGGGTCAGAGTAAGGATCATGATCGGGATCAGGGTCAGAGTAAGGATCATGATCGGGATCAGGGTCCCAGTCATTCTCATTATCGGGATCAGAGTAAGGATCAGGATCAGGGTCCAAGTCAGGATCATGATCGGGATCAGGATCAGGGCCAGAGTCAGGATCAGGTTCCGAGTCAGGATCATGATCAGGATCAGGGTCCGAGTAAGGATCATGATCGGGATCAGGGTCAGAGTCAGGATCATGATCGGGATTAGGATCAGGGTCAGAGTCAGGATCATGATCAGGATCAGGGTCAGTGTCAGGATCATGATCGGGATTAGGATCAGGGTCAGAGTTAGGATCATGATCGGGATCAGGGTCAGAGTAAGGATCATGATCGGGATCAGGGTCCCAGTCATTCTCATTATCGGGATCAGAGTAAGGATCAGGATCAGGGTCCAAGTCAGGATCATGATCGGGATCAGGATCAGGGCCAGAGTCAGGATCAGGTTCCGAGTCAGGATCATGATCAGGATCAGGGTCCGAGTAAGGATCATGATCGGGATCAGGGTCAGAGTCAGGATCATGATCGGGATTAGGATCAGGGTCAGAGTCAGGATCATGATCAGGATCAGGGTCAGTGTCAGGATCATGATCGGGATTAGGATCAGGGTCAGAGTTAGGATCATGATCGGGATCAGGGTCAGAGTAAGGATCATGATCGGGATCAGGGTCCCAGTCATTCTCATTATCGGGATCAGAGTAAGGATCAGGATCAGGGTCCAAGTCAGGATCATGATCGGGATCAGGATCAGGGCCAGAGTCAGGATCAGGTTCCGAGTCAGGATCATGATCAGGATCAGGGTCCGAGTAAGGATCATGATCGGGATCAGGGTCAGAGTCAGGATCATGATCGGGATTAGGATCAGGGTCAGAGTCAGGATCATGATCAGGATCAGGGTCAGTGTCAGGATCGTGATCGGGATCAGGATCAGGGCAAGAGTCAGTGTCAGGATCGTGATCGGGATCAGGATCAGGGTCAGAGTCAGGATCATGATCGGGATTAGGGCCAGGACCAGGATCGGGGATTACAGTCTTTTGCAGATTCTTCTCGTTACCTTGCTGTTGAGCTGGTTGAGGCTGTTGGTGATTTCAGGCGGGATTTCTCCTCCATGAGCCTTGATGTCATCAATGTCCTCTGTATTGACCTTAACCTGAAATCAGAACCCAGACCAGATTAAAAGCTGTGGGCCCAGAGGGATCAGTTCATCTACCACAGAACCCAGTCAGAATAAACCCAATTCCATTTGATCTGCTTTAAAGGAGCGAATAATAAACTTTCCCTGGATCATCCAGGAGCTGGAACAGTTGAAGCTGTTGTTGTCTCTCTCTGGGTGTGAATGAGCGGGTCTGGGGAGGCGGAGTCAGACATCCAGAGGGAAGCAACAGTGTTATGGTTTCAGAGCGTCTACAGCGATGACCTCAGGTTTTATTCAGATATCATGTGATGATGTTTATCATGAGGGACAGAAACAGGCCTGACTCCCTGACGTTACACATTTGAACCATCAGTTTATTGTTTAATGAGCAGACTGGGTTAAAGGACAAAGGAGAGATAAAATGAATCCTTTCTAATCACCCAATCCAGCTTCACTGTCATTATTTAGCCTGTAAGCCTTTAATTAATCAAACTGCTTCCATCCAGTGGCTCCACAGGCAGCTGAACTTTGACCTCCCTGGGTGTGAGCCTCATCCTGTTAATCATTACAGACTTTATGGGAACCTTTTCAAAGCTGATGAGACCAGATCTTTCCAGAAGGCTGAGCCGATGTTTTCCGTCCCAGTAGTTTGGCGTTCTCCTGGTTTCCTTCACTGACTCAGAAACTGTGACAGATGCATCATTAGAAAGGCTGCTCACCTCTGGACTAAACATAGAACTGCTTTTCTAGAGTTTAGGAACATTTTCTGGCATCAATCTTCAAGAACGTCTGTGAGAACTAAGGCCTTAGAGGATCACCTGCTGCTCCTTGGCTCCAGCAGCTGCAGGTTACCACTGGATTCACCATCAATCCAGCTGCAGATTACCACTGGATTCACCATCAATCCAGCTGCAGGTTACCACTGGATTCACCATCAATCCAGCTGCAGGTTACCACTGGATTCACCATCAATCCAGCTGCAGATTACCACTGGATTCACCATCAATCCAGCTGCAGGTTACCAATGGATTCACCATCAATCCAGCTGCAGATTACCACTGGATTCACCATCAATCCAGCTGCAGGTTACCAATGGATTCACCATCAATCCAGCTGCAGGTTACCACTGGATTCACCATCAATCCAGCTGCAGGTTACCAATGGATTCACCATCAATCCAGCTGCAGATTACCACTGGATTCACCATCAATCCAGCTGCAGGTTACCACTGGATTCACCATCAATCCAGATGCAGATTACCACTGGATTCACCATCAATCCAGCTGCAGGTTACCAATGGATTCACCATCAATCCAGCTGCAGGTTACCACTGGATTCACCATCAATCCAGCTGCAGATTACCACTGGATTCACCATCAATCCAGCTGCAGATTACCACTGGATTCACCATCAATCCAGCTGCAGATTACCACTGGATTCACCATCAATCCAGCTGCAGGTTACCACTGGATTCACCATCAATCCAGCTGCAGATTACCACTGGATTCACCATCAATCCAGCTGCAGGTTACCACTGGATTCACCATCAATCCAGCTGCAGGTTACCACTGGATTCACCATCAATCCAGCTGCAGGTTACCACTGGATTCACCATCAATCCAGCTGCAGATTACCACTGGATTCACCATCAATCCAGCTGCAGGTTACCACTGGATTCACCATCAATCCAGCTGCAGATTACCACTGGATTCACCATCAATCCAGCTGCAGGTTACCAATGGATTCACCATCAATCCAGCTGCAGGTTACCACTGGATTCACCATCAATCCAGCTGCAGGTTACCAATGGATTCACCATCAATCCAGCTGCAGATTACCACTGGATTCACCATCAATCCAGCTGCAGGTTACCACTGGATTCACCATCAATCCAGATGCAGATTACCACTGGATTCACCATCAATCCAGCTGCAGGTTACCAATGGATTCACCATCAATCCAGCTGCAGGTTACCACTGGATTCACCATCAATCCAGCTGCAGATTACCACTGGATTCACCATCAATCCAGCTGCAGGTTACCACTGGATTCACCATCAATCCAGATGCAGATTACCACTGGATTCACCATCAATCCAGCTGCAGGTTACCAATGGATTCACCATCAATCCAGCTGCAGGTTACCACTGGATTCACCATCAATCCAGCTGCAGATTACCACTGGATTCACCATCAATCCAGCTGCAGGTTACCACTGCATCAAGCCAGGGGTAACCTGCAGCTGGATTGATGGTGAATCCAGTGGTAACCTGCAGCTGGATTGATGGTGAATCCAGTGGTAACCTGCAGCTGGATTGATGGTGAATCCAGTGGTAACCTGCAGCTGGATTGATGGTGAATCCAGTGGTAACCTGCAGCTGGATTGATGGTGAATCCAGTGGTAACCTGCAGCTGGATTGATGGTGAATCCAGTGGTAACCTGCAGCTGGATTGATGGTGAATCCAGTGGTAATCTGCAGCTGGATTGATGGTGAATCCAGTGGTAACCTGCAGCTGGATTGATGGTGAATCCAGTGGTAACCTGCAGCTGGATTGATGGTGAATCCAGTGGTAACCTGCAGCTGGATTGATGGTGAATCCAGTGGTAACCTGCAGCTGGATTGATGGTGAATCCAGTGGTAACCTGCAGCTGGATTGATGGTGAATCCAGTGGTAATCTGCAGCTGGATTGATGGTGAATCCAGTGGTAACCTGCAGCTGGATTGATGGTGAATCCAGTGGTAACCTGCAGCTGGATTGATGGTAAATCCATATGAGGCCTGCAGCTGCTGGAGCCACGGAGCAGCAGGTGATCCTCTAAGGCCTCGGTGCTCCCAGAAGTGCTTGAAGCGTGATCCCTGGTGTGACGCTGACAGGTCCAGGGTCGTCCTGATGCGGCCTGGTTTGGTCCGGGTTATTCTCTCATTGGTGGAAGCCAGAGATGAATCTGTTTCCTCTGCTGGATTAGATCAGCTGAACCTACCTGGCTGAGCAGCTGGATGAGGTCTTCATCTCCCACCTTGACCCGGCCGGAGGAGGACGGCTGGAAGCGGATGTCTTTGTTGTCCCCCGTGGTGAACACGAGGTGACCGTCGTCTGACTTGATGCGAGGCCTACAGACAGATCATCCCATCAGACACAGCTTCATGCAGGAGGTGGGCTCTAAAGGACCCTCTCCTCTCCATCCACACTCACTGTGCCAGCTGATCGCTGTCCCTGGCCTCTCCTGGTGGTCTGTAGAGCAGCAGAAGGAGGAAGGCGAGCAGCCATGAGGGCTGCATTGCTCCGGCCATGGAGAAGGGTTGGTTGGTGCTCCGTCTGAGCAGTTCTACTGGAGCGTCCTGCTGTGCTGTGCTCTAATACTCACCTTTATGGCTCTGACCTGAACAGCAAAGCATAAAATCTGTTTCCTAAAGCCGTGGTGGTTTATCATTCTATGCCTCTCACATGACTCTCAGAGATCAGTAACTGGCTTCATGTGACGTTCTGAACGACACAAATAAAAACACAGCCTGAGCATCAGCTGCAGGCGTCTCTTCTATAACTACATCTTTACACTTTGCTCTCACCGTTTACATTCTACATTTATGAGATCAGGAGCAAATCCAGGATTAGATTCTCTGGATCCAGCAGTGAGTTTGTCTGCTGTGTGAGCAGCAGCTATAGGGCAAACATTAACTCTGGTCCTGAGACTGATAAAGAACACCTGCTGACTCCCCTCATGGTTTTCTGCAGTCAGCAGCAGCCTGATGAAAGGTGCCTGCAGGCAGGTTTATCTCTGTTTGTCCTTCATTAAAGACTGCAGAAAAACGACCGTCTGATGAATCAGGAAGACCACCTCCTGTTTCCAGGTCTGTCCTGTTCATAGACTCCTAACCCTGGATGGTTGTTCCTTACCTTCCTGAACTCCAGCTACTGAAGCTCCTCCAAGCCTGTTTTAATAAGGAAAGTAAAAGCAGGATAAAAACCCTTCAAGGCAGAGCTGGACATGGCCAAAAGGCACGCAGGCGATGCTGACCTTCTACACCTCACTATCCACTAACCCCCAGGCTTAATAAACCTCCAGTCCACCACCTCCGCCTCTGCAGGTCCGTGTCATCCTGCCGGGTCATTAGAGGTCAGGGAGAGGTCACTGCGGCCCACAGGATCATGGAACAGTTTGCCTCCAGCTCTGACCGCTGGTTCACAGGTAAACCTGCTGTCTAATGTTAGCCTTAGATGCTACGCTGCCTCTGATGCTCCATGTGGTCACGCCGGGCCATTAGCATGCTACTTCCTCTGGTCTAGCCAACCACAGGCTGGAACAGTTACTGGTGAACTGCAGCTGCTCCTTCGTTCCTCAACCTTCATCTCAGCTTCTGCTGCAGGACGTTTCCACCAGAGGATCACAGCAGATGCAGGAGGACCCAGATTATCTCCACACCGAGGCTTTATTTCTGTCCTCTGATGACCTCCAAATGATTTTATTCTATTAATGGTGATTAAAAGGAAACAATTAATGTAGAGGCAATGAATTATCTCTACACTGAATATGGGGCTTATTTCAATACTTGTTTGAAAAGCTTAGATTAAACGCTAATTTTGGTTTCAGCACATTGTTTATTATTTATTTATTTATTATTTAGAGCCTCATGTGGCTGCAGAGTCTGCAGGACCTTCTGGAAGATGAAGAGCGAGTAGCATTCCCTGACCTCCGTGCTTCCTTCATCTAAATCATTTTGACTTCTTCACACGGTCCAGGATGCCGCTGAGGCTCTGTCAGGACCGGGACTCCTGGACCAGATCCTGCAGGCCTTTTTGGGACCAGATGTCCCTACTGGCCAATCTGTTTTTAATATAGAATAACAGCAGCATGTATTTAACTCTTTCAACCAAATCATGTCATTCCAATGATTGAGTTAAATAAACAGTATAAAAATGATACGGGATAAAATACTCTCTATTTCTGTGTGTGTGTGTGTTGGGGGGGGGGGGGTGCATTGTTACAGTGACTGTAAAGAGAAAAAGGTTCAGACTGAAACAGAAATGTGTGTTTCATCAATATTCTCTGCTCTGGTCAAACTAAGGTGCAGCTCGGATTAGTTTGGTTCTAAAACGGAAGGCAGAGTAAAATAATCCTGCTTAGGATAAAAGAGACACAAGATGGACCAAAGACAGAAAGAGGAAGGGGGCAAGTGGAATAATTATCTTCTGTCCCAAATCCTGCTTGGCTCACACCACTAATCCACCCAGGAAAAGCAAGCGGAGGAAGGGCCAATTATTCCTGCTCTTCTCCACATGGATTCCCTCCGTCAGCTTTATGTGCCTCGTATCTCTAAACGAAACACACGCCTCACTTTACTGTGACAATGTTTACCAGATCCTGTGTAACAAAGGAAGCTCTGCTTCTGTTCTTCATTCATAGTCAAAATCTGAGCATTAAAGATAAAACAGACGTACTGTAATGAAAACATCCCAATCTGATGTCATTCTTTCATCTGTGGATTATTTCAGAAAACTGTGGCAACTATCAACATTTATTCTGAATAAAAAGGAAATAACTTCTATTTAGTTTTATACAAACTAAAGTAAAATATATTTCATAGAATTAGAAATGTTCAGTTATTCCTGTGGTAATGGGATGTGTAATTGCAATGATCTCAGAATGTTGGACCCAGAATTGGAAGCGAGGCGGGCGGTGAGAAAGTTCAAAGCCTTGATTAAAACAGACAGGAGCTCATCAGCTGCAGGGGGATCTCTGCAGAGATAGGAGATACAGGTCAGTGACTGGATGTGGAGCTGATCACCACTTGGAGCAGAGTCACTGACCTGAGTCAAAGTTCAGTCCAAACGGGAGGTTAATCCCCAGCTTGCAGCCAGTTCCTACAGAGCGAGCAGCAGCAGTGTCCTTTAAGGGAAACCAGAAGACAGGTCCAACCTCAGAAGCCAGTAGAATCCAGGAATCAGTCCAGAACAGATGCCAATAACAGAGCAGGCAGGGGCAAAGCAAACCAGGGGATCTGCAGGACAGAAACTGGTCCCAATCAGGAAAACAGAACAGAGTTCAGAAAGCAGAGTTAGTCTCACCAAACGCTTAAATAGACTGAACACCTTCTTTGCTCAAACCTCTGGACATTGTTCACTGGAAATTGTACTTCTCTCTGTATTATAAAGCATTTTCTAATAAAGTTTATTTAAAAAAAAGTATTTTCAACAACTTTCAAAATACTCAAGAACACCATTAACATCAAAAATACAAATTAAACCGTAAAGAAATGGCTACAAAGCGTGATGTCACGTAGCATGTCTGTCACATGGTAGGTCCCTTTTTCATTTTGAAATCTTTATCAAATCCTTATTTAAAATTATATTAGTAACAAACAATCTAAAATAAGCAAAAATAAGGAATCATTATGGAGATGTATTTATCTATCCTTACACCTATTTATCTAAAAAAAAACATAAAACATGATTGAAATCAATATTTAGGAGACAAATGTACATTAAGAGCACTTTAATCCGTCCATTAATTATCATTAATTATCCTCAGAGTGGGACAGATGTTTAGTCTATCGCAGATTAAGAACACAAATATTAACAAATACTTGCTGGAGCTGAAGTTCAAATAAAAGATTTTGATGTTGTGAATGGTACTCTTAAAATGAATAACTTAAAATCTAAAATATAAAAGTCTTTGGCTTATTTAAAAGGGACTAGATGGAAAAGAGGTTTGGTCAGTAAAACATTTAGTCAACAACTTTGGCCAACTTAGTTTAGTTTAGTTTAGTTTATTTTAGTTTAGTTTAGTTTAGTTTTATTAGGATTAGCGGCCAAATAAATGGCCACTAATGTTCCTGGGTCCTCACATAAAGAAATTACATTACATTATGAACAAACCATTAACATAAATTGCACAATAATAATAGGAACATGAAAAAGAGTAGAAATATACACCATAAATACACAGGTCAGTTCATCATATCATCTGCAGTAGTTCTGAGGACGGCATCTTTTTGAAGCTTGTTCTGTTCTGGACTCTTGGTTACTGGCTGCTGGTTCCATACGGCTCTATGACACACTGTGGATTTAGATGCTTTGTTCTGGGAGTTTAATGTCTCCACCTAGTGCCCGCCTTGTTACGTAATCATGACTTTTTTCAAGAAGGACTAAATGTTCAGCAAAACATGAAGGCTGTTGTTTAAAGAAAACATTCCATATAAATAGAAGTCTTCATTTAAGTTTATAGGTAATGGTTAACCATGACAGCCGTCTGTGCATTGAAGCCATCTTTGTTCTTTGTGAGCTCTGAAGGGCCGCCCTGCTTGGTGCAGCTGAAGCTTGTGAAGCTCACTCTGTGAAGCGGATGACCATATCACTCCAGATAACTCAGGACTGTACAACCTGTTCAGCAGCAGCAGCGGGTACGAATGAAGCACATTTCTTCACCATGGTAACGCCTTCACCCATTTTAGCCACATGAGCAGCCCAGACAGGTGTGAGTCTAAGATGACTCCCAGTAATTAGTCTGCTTTACGTGCTTCAGCTGCAGCCCGTTGACTAACAAACATAGGGAGGTTTCATTTTTTAATTTGTGATTACTTCCAAAAGTTTTTTTCTATATTTAATTCCAATTTATTTTCTTTAATCCACCTGCTCACTTTTTCTAAATCCTAATTAATTAAATCTGACGCACGGTCAGCTGTGTGTGCTGCACAATACAATGTGGAGTCATCTGCGTGGTATTCTCCATGCAGAGCAGATCGTTTGTTAAAAATAGAGTATAAGAGTGGAGAGAGGCCGCTTCCTTCTGGTAATCCACCATGAAGTGTTTTACTGGACCAGTATTCACCAGTGAAAGATTCTCTCTGCGTCCTCTCTGAGAGGCAGCTGGCCATCCATGACAGAGCAGAGGGAGAAAATCCATAACTTTCTAGTTCAACAATGCTGCATGAGCATGCAATACTGGTCAATCAGATCGAAGGCAGCACTGAGATCTAACATTACTGCCCCACTAACCTGTTCAGGTCTGGTTCTTCCAGCCGTCTGTCTAGCATCTGATGGAATGAAAATGTTTCCATAATCTGGCTCATTAGAGGAAGAACGCTGATAGGTGGACAGTTAGCTCCTGTAAAAGCAGCTTTTTTATTCTTAGGTAACGGCGTGTAACGCTCTGGTTGAATATATGAGAAACTGGACGGACAAAGTTTTAGCAGCTAATCTGAACAATCTTCAATCTAAACAATCCTGATGATTTTCTATCTGGTAAAGATTTTAGAATATTTTCAATAAAAACTGTCTCCACTTGATGGAATGTAAAAGAACAATTCTTCTTGTTCATAATTTTGTTTAGGATTACATTATATAACTCAGACCCACTATCAGGAGTCATAGTAGCTCTTAAATTCTCTAC